CACGATGGGAATATTTTATTTTTATTTATTTATTTTTTTAAAAAGATTCTATTTATTTGTCAGAGACAGAAAGAGAGAGTGCACGCGAGAGCACAGAGCGGCAGGCAGAGGGAGAAGGAGGCTCCCCGCTGAGCAAGGAGCCTCACTCGGAACTCGATCCCAGGACCCTGAGATCATAACCTGAGTCGAAGGCAGACGCTTAACCAACTGAGCCACCCAGGTGTCCTGGGAGTAGAGATTACTTAAAAATAAATAAATAGGGGCAACTGGTTGGCTCAGGCGGTTAAGCATCTGCCTTCAGCTCAGGTCATGATTCCAGGGTCCTTGGATCGAGCCCCACGCCAGGTTCCCTGCTCAGCGGGGAGCCTGCTTCTCCCTCTCCTCCCTGCTAGTGCGCTCTCTCTCTCAAATAAATAAAATCTTGAAAAAAAAATTAAAAATAAATAAAACAAAACTCACATAAAGTAAGGTATAGGGGCGCCTGATTCTTGATTTCAGCTCTGTCATGATCTCAGGGTCGTAGGATGGAGCCCTGTATCAGGCTCCAGGCTCCACAGGGAACTCCGCTTGGGTTTCTCTCCCTCTGCCCCCGCTCCCCCACCTCCCGTAAATAAATAAAACAAGGTACATATTTATCAGTTAAAGAGTATGTGAAGAAACTCATTGGAGCCTAACCCCTATTTCCCCCAGTAGAAATGGTTTAGTGTATGCTAATTCAGTGTTTGTGGTGACTTTCTAGAATATAACTTACTGTGAATGACAAGAACCCACTGTATTTTGTTCAACCAGATTTTTAGTTCTTCCTACACTATGACGAATGTTTTATGCTCACTTGGAAAAACTACACAGAAAATTAGCAATAAATTATTCTAAATATTTGTAATTAGTGCATTGGTAACAATTTCCTTAAAATAGGACAGAGATGTTATTTCTGACAAAAATCTTCATGTTTCAATCCACTTTCCCTTATTAGCACTGCTGTCCTCCTCTTACCAAGAATAATTACTGATGTGGTCCCGTCTCCAACCTCTTCATCCTGCGTCCGGCTAATTTCAATCATGGATTTGGCTGCTGGATGCTGGACTTGAATCTGAAAAGGAAAATGCAGATTGCCACAGAATCAGCACTACTCAAAGCCTTTGGAACCCACTCTCCTCGGTCCTGACTCTCGAGCTTCTTACTTCCATATTCCCTCCCTTATCCGTTGTTTTACCACAGCTTGAAAGATTTTCAGTGGTCCTCAAAATATCTAAGTGAATCCTCTTTCCAAGTCCCCCTCTTTTTAGAGGAAAATGCAGATGCCAACTTAACTATTAAAGTTTCTTGAAGACAGAACAGTATTCTTTTATAGCTTATTTACTGGGAGATCCACCCACTGGTTGAATTGTATTTTCCAAAAGGACAGCTGAAGTCCTGCCCTCTGGAAACTGTGAATGTGAATGTTTTTGAAACAGGGTCTTTGCAGATGTAATCAAGATCTGCAAATTAGATCATACAAGATATTATGATAGGCCCTACATCCAACCACTGCTGGTCCTATACTAAGAGACACAACAGGAGAATGGCATATAACAACTGAGAAGGAGACTGAGTCCACAAGCCAAGGAATGTCAAGGATTGTGGTCAACCACCGGATGCTAGAAGCAACAAAGATTCTTTCCAAGAGCCTTCAGAAGGAGTAGGACCCTGCTGACACCTTGATTTTGGACTTCTAGCCTCCACGCTATGGGTGAATAAATTTCTATTGTTTAAAGCCACAGCAGTCCTAAGGAACTAACAATCATGTATGTAACTTTATGGGTCCTTTATAAAATTATTAGAAAGCAAAATGGAAAGTCATACCTCTCGAAGAATGGCGTTGCCATCATTGGTCATCACAATGCCTCCCATTGGGTCCAAAAGCATCTAGGACAAAAGTAAAAGTTATACCTAAGTTACAAGTGTTCCAGATAACAGAAAGGGAAAATCTTTAAGCAGTTCAGTAAGAGATCGGCCTACCTTCATCATGGACTTGGGTCCCAAACATGTGCGGATGATATCTGCAATGGTCTATCAGAAATGAGATATAAGACATGTGACCACCAATCAGAAGACTGTGTCAATGTGTGCGTTAGAACACATGTTAGATACAGGACACCACGTGTCCAGATGCTGCTGTAATGATTTCAGGGTGGACGTATAAACAGTTTTTCACAGGAAAAGAGGGAACATGGCTTCCAGAGCTTCAGGTCCCCGTAACTCAGATAACGGCAAGTCCGTGTATTAGTATTGCTTTCCATGATAGTGGCCTCCACACCGTGCTAAATCAGCTCCAGGGCTGTTTCATTCTTTCATCCAAAAGACATTTACTGAAGACCCAGCCAGGACCTACAATGGGCACTAGGAATACAAACGGGAATATAGTCCTTCCCCTCAAATAATTCAGTGTAGTATGGGAGGCAAACACACAGATTACAAAACAATATACATTAATAGAATTATGCACAAGTAAATACGAGAAAACTATTAGGCCTAACTCATTGTGGGAGGGCATCCTTCTACCTACCACCATCAGAGAAATGTTCTCAAAGAAGGGAAGTCAAACTTTTCTTCTGCCTAATAGCAAACGAATACAAAAATACTAGAGAAGGCAGGTGGAGGCAAACTAATAAACTTTAAACTACTTAAAAGATATGCTACCTTGGCGGCATTGATGTTTCCAGATTGAACTTTTCTTCCAGATTCACGCTTTGTGTTCTGGCCTAAAATAGATAAAATAAAATGCAATAGATCAGGATTCGCCCATTGTATAGAAACTATTTATTCCCTGACCTTTGAAAGTAAAAACATACTCAGGTTTCATGGATGTAACAAAGATCAAACTTCATCGAACTGTACACTCTAAATACGTGTAGGTTATTGTATGTCAACATACCTTAAGAAACTGTTAAAAAAATAAGCATATGTACTTATGGCTACTTCTTTATGTCATCCCCTGGCATACAAACAATCCCTAACACTTCAACTTTGGAACCCTGGTCATCGCTTTCCCACTAACCAAACATTCACATATTTACAGTAAGGATTCATAACCTGAGGTCCATGAATGAGCCTTAGTGGAATGGTGAACTCCTGCAGATTATGAGAAAATGGGGAGCTACTGCGTTCTTGTCTGAGAAGAGGATCTACAGCTATCAGATTCTCAAGGGGCTGGTGACCTAAAAAAAGCATCAATCACTGCTTTATGTGAAAAAGGAAGGAGTTTGGAGGTTCCTATTTTCATACTTGGGTAGGGGGAATCATACTGACAGTCCCAGCATAATTACTGACAGAGTCCCTCCAGTGTGCTGTGCAATGAGAATACCCTCTCAGAGTGCCTCAATTTGCAAGATACACTCACTCCATGCTTGGATGTAGTAAGAATGCCTCAATAACCCCTCTACCATCAGAGCTGAGTACGTATGTTAACCGGGAGTCTACTGGGTTCTAGCCACTAGTGCCAGGGATGAATGCAGACCGGAAAAAGGCTTCACAATGTACCACTCATCCCCGGGGCCCTCCCAATAGAGACAAGTCAGTAGCTGTAACCAAACCAACATAATGCCGATCTCCCTCCTCTCTCCAAATTACACATTCCCTACAATTTAAATCAGTAAAATTTTCAACCAGTTCCATCAAATCTACATGCTCACAACCCTCAGAATTTAGACTCCTATTTCAGGCAGCGGTAACTAAAATCCTGCAGACTGTTCTGGTAGACTCATCAGAAGAAACAGGGCTTTTCCCCAGTTAAGTGAAGTTATTTTTCTGAGAACAGTTATTTCCTAGATACAGGGAAAATAGAGGAAAATCGCGTTACTGCATTTTGTATACGGAAAAGGGTAAGGGAGGGACAAGAGCTTGCAGATGGGGTACAGAAGTTACTCGAAAAAGGGGGAACACCCCAGGGGAAGACAATGGAGGTGGTCCTCCTTAGAGAGAAATTTAGGAAAACTCAGTGGGAAAGATCTCAGCGCAGAGGACACCGCGGGATGAGTTACATCCAAGCCGGACTCGTCGCACGGCGGTCGCTGAAGGGAGACCCCGGGGGCTGTCACTGAGAAGTGACCACGGCTACCACTCGCTGTGCGCAGACCCCCTTTTCGGTAGCTTACCCACTTGTCACTCAATCTCCCCGATCGCACGAGAAAAGACTTTAAGCCCCCCCAATAAGGACGGGACGCTCGAGCCAGGCGATCCGGCGGGGCCACACGGCCACGGCGGTGAGGCCAGGCCAGACCACTTCCCATTCTCCAGCCCCGCACCGAAAACCACGCGAGCAGGGGTGCGGCGGCGGGGGGAGTGCCGAGCGCCCGCGGACCAGCGGCTCGGCCAGGGGCAGGGAGACAAGGGTCCGGGCTCAGGGCACAGAGAGGAGCGGGAAAGGGGGTTTTCCGACACGAACGACGACGGGAAGCCTGCGCGGCCGGACCAGGGCGGGACCCGTCTGGGGCCACACGGCAAACTGTGGACGGAAGGAGCGAAAAGGGGGTCACTGCCTCTGCTTCCCCCAACTCACTGAGCACGAGCACCGGACGATGGCCCATCATGGCGGCGCGATGCAGAGCCGGGCACCCAGAGCTGGGGCAACCGGCAGAACCTTCTGGAGGGAGAGAACCAGCAAGAAGCCCAGAAAACGCTGCCTCCTCAGGGCTCACACCTAAACCCGCTAGCCTCCGTGTCGCTGCCAATCACCGCAGCCAGCTCATTGACCGGCACGAAGACCGGCCAATCGACTTCGTTAGCCCCGCCCTCTACGCAAGAACGGCAGGGCAAGCTAGATAGAGAGCGCGCGATGATGGAACGGGGAGGGCGCGGGCGCTTGCGCAGTAGGGCGGCCGCTCCCGGCCGCGTGCGGCGCGCAGGTCGGCGCAAGCGCGGAGGCTGGGGCAGTTGGCCGGCGCGCCACCGCGCATGTGTATCAACTACGAGGGTGGGTGCCGGGCGGGAGGCTTTTCGAGTAACAGCGTAGGTGAGGTCACTGAGTTGGCCGGCGTGTCGGGTCCTCCGGGGCCGCGATGGTCCCTTCCCAGCCTTAGCTGCGGGAGGAATAGCGGCGCGGACCGCCTTGGGAGCTTGGTCTCTGGGGCCGACTGGGTGGCAGAGCCCTTCTCTCCCCGAGCGCACCCCTCGCCCTCCTTACGCAGGTGCGACTCGCAGACGCTGGGAGCGGTGGCCGCGCCCGGTCTCCTACCCGGGGCACGCCCCCGCGGCTTCCACGCCGGCTCCCCAGCGCCCTCCTCCTGCGCTCCATTGCCAGCCCATTGGAGATGATGGGGAGCCAGGATGTGGAAGTTACCTCGCAGGGCAGGAAAAGGGCTGGTGGGGTAGGAGGAAAAAGTGGAGGGAACCCCCGTTAGTGCGAGATTCTTAAGGTTTGGGCTTAAATGACTACTTTGTCCGGAAAAGAGGAAGCAATAGTAACAGACGTCTGTTTCCCAAACTAGTGAAGGGACCATGAGAGCACGAACAACTCAACAGTCGCTTATATCTGGTCATGAAACAGAACAGTACCTTCTTTCACACTTCTTCCTCCCCAAATTGGTGCAGCCCCGGATGTGCTGGAGAGAAGTTGTCAGTAGTAAAGTAATAGAACGGGTTTTTGGTCGTGTAACGCTGTGATTCTTCCCCAGGCACCACACCTGTTGGTGTCCCGATGGAGCAGCATGCTAGCCCTCCCAACGGAAAAGGTGTGTGTCTGAGGCCCTGCTCCCTCTCCCCTGAAAGCCAGACCTTAAGTGCTCAGAATGTGGGAAAGTCATTCTAGCCTGTATGTATTTTTTTTTCCGTTTTCTCCGTTGATTGGAAAGTATTTGTAGCTGTTCTAGGATTCGGGGCGCTCCGCAGGCTCAGTCCGTAGAGCATGCGACTCTTGATCTCAGGGTCATGGAGTTCAAGTTCCCTGTTGGGCGTAGACCTTACTTTAAAAATAAATAAATAGATGGGAACATTGCTGTATTCCCAATGTCTATAACTGGATCTGTTACATAATAGTTGCTCAATGATATGTTGAGTGAATACATTATTCTTCCTTTGTTTCCCCTCTTACTACTTAGAACAAGACTTCATGTGCAGGGGTTCCAGGATACATAGTGTTGACCAGAGTAAACAGATACTCTGCTTGAGGGGGGGCGGTCCCACTCAGCGGGCAGGGAAATGCCTGGGGCGGGACTGACTCCAGAGCCCAGCCACGTGGAGTAGGTGACTCCATCCATCTGAGAGGCTGACTATGTCACAGCTTAGACATAATCGACCACCTGTTTTCACAGAATGTTGTGACTGGTAAAGAACGTGACCGTGGAGTCCTCCGGCCCGGATTTAACCCCAGCACTGCCACGTGGCTAGTTGTGGAATCTTAAGCAAATTTCCTAACTAAAGTTTTCTCAAATAAAATGTGGAGAAAGCTACCTACTTCTTAGGGTCATTGTGAGAAATAGATAATGTGCGTAAAGCACCTTTTACTGTTATTTTCTACGTCTGCTTCCCGTTGCTGCTCCCCAACCTCCTCCTCTGTTGTGTTGTCAGAGGTGTGGTTCCTTTATGCATTGTGTGTAAGTATTCTTCACACCTTCACACCGTACAACCTGGTAGAAAATGTATCCTCCTGTACCTAGGATGGGCCTGAATTGTTGAGAAGTTCATCTGTATGGAAATTAAAGTTAAATTTTTCCAGTGGTGAAAATAATCTCGAGACCCCAGTTTCAGCTTCTGTCTCCTTACCATTCTGCACGAGCCATCAAATGACAGATGAGATGAAGGGAAAAGAAGATGGAGGGCCTATAGCAGGGCTTGGAAAATCCACAAACCCAGCCTAAAAAACCCTACAAGACAGATTTCCTTCACCAGGAGTAATAGGGAATAAAACAGATTTCCATTTTCGTAGGCCCAGTGAGTTTCCAAGTAGAAAGCACCTCAGCCTGGCACCTGTGTGTGAGGACTTCCCCCCCCAGGCCACACCTCTGTTGCACTTGGAATTAAGGACAAGAATACGACGTCTTCCTTTATACAACCTACCTGTCCCACTTCTGCCCCCAGGCTTGTTTTCCATGAAGACAGCCTTCCTGTACCTTCATCCTCCAAATCCCAGCAGAGACAGGATCGCTTCTGGGGAGCACAGTCCCCAGCTGCACAGATGTGTTCTAGATTGGGTGCTCTCTCGCACTTCTGGAGTGGAGTAACGTGCATGCTCGATCACTTAGTGATGATCTGCACCTCAGGACTCTCAGTTCCGTGAGAGCCGCCACCACGTGTGTTGGCTTGCTGTGGCATCGTCACGGGTGGATGCTCACAGGCACTTAGCTGTCTCCTAGAATGAGTGGATTCAGTTCTTCTGTCCTTGACCTTGGCCTGGCAGCGACTTGCAGGCTCCTTCAGAGGCCCAGCCATTTTGCCTCTCTGTCCATCGCTTCTCTGTACGCTTTGCCGCTTCCTTCTCATCTTCCAAACTCCTGAGGACGAGCTCCCCAAGGTCCCATTTTCTCTCTCAGTTTTTTACTTTGGAGAGCTGATTTGTTTTTGCAGTTTCTTTATCCCCTCTTTGTGGCTGGCCTGGCAGTTTGACCTTTCACCTGAGCTCAGTGCCACCTCTGCCTGTTTTTGTAGGTATTTCTACCTGGACTGCCTAGTCTCCACTCATTAGTATGTCCAAAATACGATTTATGTTAATCTAATGGGGCCCCAACTCAGACTCCCCTGAGTAAACAAGGAAATTCAGAGGCTTGTGCAGTGGGAGGGAGGCTGAGATGGTCACAGGCCAGGAAGAAGGCCTGCAAGAGCTGGGGCCTCAGGGACTGTACTGGGGGACACAGTGCCTAAAGCTGTCAGTCAGTCCATCTTTCTCCTGTGCTCTTGTCTGTACCCTCTTGCTTGTATCTGCTCCTTACAGCATGCTGGCCAAATTCAGTAGCTTTCATCTGCCCCAACTTTACATTTTCCCAGTATAGCAGATCAGAAGAAAGCAAGCTGCTTTGACAACAGAATCCATATATGGATTCCCAGCTTGCCCATTGTGCTTACTCCTTGGATCATTCACAGTTGCCAAGGAGGATGAGATACCGTGGTTGGCCTGTGTTGTCTCACACGCCCCTTCCTCCTGGGGAGGAGGTCCCAGTATGGCCTGGGACCTGGGGAGAGTGGTTGTCCAGAGGAAGTGTTGGACAAAAGTAGCATATGTCTTCTGTAGAACTCATGCCCTTCCTACAAATCCATTTTTCCTTCTAACTTAATTCTTTTTGCCAAAGGTTATTTATTTTCCCATCAAGAACTTCTTTCACATCCAGCCTATTTTAATAACTGTAGATTAACAAAATACAGTTTTTATCACATTTTTTCTAATCCTAAAAGGCTCAATGGCTTTCCATTGTATTCAAGAGAAAGCCTGAAGTCTCAGATTCACTGTTGTGAAGGGTCTTCCGTGGCTCATCCTGCTCTCCTGCGTTCCTCTTTTCTCCCACTTGAAATATCTTTCCACTCATCAAAAGCGCCCTGTGTTCAAGGTCCAGTAAATATCCTCTACCTGCCTGGACTCTTCTCTATCGTACTCATGTTGAGCTCTTGCACCTTTTTCAAAAGCATCCATTTCTATGTTCAAATAACATTGAACTTTGGATAACTCAGATAAAAGACCTCATTTTCAGGGTGCCTGGGTGGCCCAGTCGGTTAAGCATCTGGCTTAATTTTGGCTCAGCTCATGATCTCAGGGTCATGAGATCGAGCCCTGCATCCGGCTCCGCACTCAGCATGGAGTCTGCTTGAGATTCTCTCTCTCAAATAATTAAATCTTAGTAATAATAAAGGTCTCATTTTCACCCAGACTGTCAGACGCATCGTTTAGGTCCTTAGGTGGATATATATCACATTTTGTCAGTGCCCTGTTTGTCTCCCAAAGAGATAGTACCTGAGAAACCATGAGTTCGAGGTCTTGTGACGCCCGAGTGTCTAGCACAGGAATAAGCATGTGGCACACACCCATGAGCACTTGTCAGGTGTGAGCTGAACCCATCCCTGCTTGGTTTCCCTTACTCCCACTATGGTTTCTTTTTTGTCTTATGTAACTTCAGTTGGAGCTACTAAGGGCAGGTCCTTGGCACCTGTGTTCATAGGCCAAATGCAGAGATCTAGTTAGAAAGGCTAGAAATTGTTAGAAATAACTCTGAATAGTTGCCTCTGATTTTGTTCCAGCCAAAGAGGAAAGTAATGTTGTGCCTCTTTGTCGAGCCAAACCCTCCCCTAGCTTTATTAATCTTCAAGCAAGTTCCCCACCGGCCACTTTCCTGAACATCCAGAACACAAAGCTGCCCTCAGGTAAGGATGCAGGGCAGGTTCCCTAAATGGACCCCATGCAGGATGGGGAGGGGTTGCATGGAGGAAGTGGCCTGAGCTTTCTCCCGTTGATCTGGTGCCAACTCTGGGTCATTGGCAGCTTGTTGATTATTCAGGTCTACTGATTTCATTTTCTTCCCGATTCTACCAATTTGTGTTGGTTTCCTTATTAGCACTTTTACTAGGCTAGGCGACTGAAAGGAAAATTTTATTGCTTGCTAGTGGCTAGGGAAGGGAATGGTAGGCATTAGCTCAGTTTGTCGCATTTCAGTTATTCACATTCCTGCAGGGAAATCAGTGGGCGTTTAGGATACTGGCGGGGAGCCTAACCAGGTGCTAGACAGCCGTGACAACAGTGTTTGCTGACCTCAGAGTTTAACAAAGAAGTCAAGGCCGATAAATACACAAAAAAGTAGGCAAATGACTCCCAAAGTTACCTAGGAGCTGGCTGCATGTAATGTCATTGAAAACATTAGAAAAAATTGGGCTAATGCAGCAAGACTGGTTGAAATGAGGCAATAGGAGGGGCTGCAGGTCACCGCTGATCCGACACTGTGTCAGGTAAGAAGGAGGCTGAGGCATCCCTGGGGCCTCAGTCGGATCTTTGCACTCACTCATCAAGTATGTTTTGAATACTTAGGCACCAGGGCATGCTTTTAGGTGCTGGGAATATAACAGTGAGCAATCAGACAAAACTCCCTGCCTTCCTGGAGCTTACGTTCTAGAGAGGGGACTTCAACAACAAATAAGTAATCACAGAACATGCTGTATGATCATAAATTCTATGGGAAAAAAATTTAGCAAGGGACGAAGGTATCAAATCCCAGTGATGGTTTTCCAGTTAAAATAGGGTGGCCGGGTAGGTGACAGGCAAGCAAAGGTACGTGTGCGCCGAGTTGTGCAGGAAAGATTAGAGCCCTCCCCACCCCAGTACAGTTACAGAGTCTCCTGTCCCCTTTGCACCTCCTTGGCTCTCCCTTCAGGAGTTGACCACAAGCCCAAGGAATGCCTGGGACTCCTAGAATGTATGTATGCCAATCTCCAGCTCCAGACCCGGCTCACCCAACAACAGATGGCTATTTTGGAAAATTTACAAGCATCCATGACACAGCTGGCTCCTGGGAAGGGAAGCAAGAACTTTTCTCTCCCAGCCTTATCCTGCAATCTGTTGTTAAATCACCTGCCCCAGTTCAGTAAATGAATTGTGGAACAAAGTTACTGTGTATGTTTTCTCCGTTCTCCCCAGCAAACTCTTGGTGGAACCTGGGCATAGATATTCTGCACATGGTTGGTTGGTTCGCAAGTTCACAGTAAGTGCTCGTTCGATGCAAAGCACTGGACAAGGCACTTAGGGATATGTATCACGGTAAAGACCATCTTGGGGATTTACTGTCTAACAACGCAGCTAAGACCGATAATTCATTGCAAAATGTAGTGGTCCTTGGAGGGGACTTGAGGGGGAGGGGAGTTGCGAGGGGGAGGCAGCTGGACCCATCTTGGACTCTGGCCGCAGGAAGTGGTCTTATGGTGCCACGTGATGAAGCGGCGGGGCATAGATAGATGGAATAAGGTGGTTTCATGTCAGTTGAGAGGCTTGGACAAAGACCTTGAGGTAGGAGAATAAGTCATCAGAAATTAGGAGAAGAGGCTTCCCCCCTCCGCCCCCCCGAATATAGGATGTGAGGTAGAATGGAGAGCAGCTGAGAACTGACCAGGTAGCTTCCCCGGGGCAATTGTACTAATGGCGGCCACTAGAAGCTCTGATTTTATTTGAGGCACTGGAGAGCCATTGGAAGCTTTCCAATAGCAGTAGGGCACGGGTAAGGTCATAGAAACAACATGGGCAGGCATTTTGGGGTGGAGGGAGAATGGCACTTGAGAGACCTGCATAAATTGATAATCTGATGTGAAACTACCATGGGCTGGATAAAGGGCTTAGAAATGAAGACAGGTAATGTCCTCAGGACAGAGTGGGTGAATCTGAGCTATACTGCAGAGAACGACTGACTACCAGCTTCGAACTTGAAACACCAAGACACAGCATCTGTAAATTTCTCTGCTGGGAAGTCAGTTTAGCTTTAGTGAGGGGTCAAGTCCAGCCATAAATTTCCAGTCATTGAGAAGAGGACACATGAGGTTAGCTTAGCCATGTGAGCCACACTGGGTCATCACTTTCTTACAGATGTGTTGGCAACTTACTCTTGAGACTGGGTCCTCTTTCCACAGAGGCCTTCTTTTCCTATGGAATGTGGGGAAAGAGCTGGGTTGGGATGCAGAGGTGAGGAGGAGAGAAAGCAATAATTAAGAAGAGGACTTCACTCTCAATCTGGAGGTGTTTTTAGGTCTAAAGTGAGTCTCTTGTAGACAGCATATGGATGGGTCCTGCTTTTTTATCCAATCTGATACCCTGTGTCTTTTGATTGGAGCATTTAGCCCATTTACATTCAGAGTAACTATTGAAAGATAAGGAATTGGGGCGCCTGGGTGGCTCAGTTGGTTAGGCGACTGCCTTCGGCTCAAGTCATGATCCTGGAGTCCCTGGATCGAGTCCCGCATCGGGCTCCCTGCTCCGCGGGGAG